AACCTTCTTTCCATTTGTCCAAACCCCCTTGTCCAGCCTTGTCGTTTAGTTTTTTCTTTTTGTTTATCTCTTCGTTTGTTTTCTTCTCGTGCTAATGCCTCGACAATGCGCGTATACAAACATATTTTAACTGGAATTTCATATTCAGAACAGTTCGGGCCACTGAAGTGAGTCTTTTGTGCTGTGTGCTGAAGAGTTTTGGCTAGTCACTAGTGGATCTTGGATTGCGACCTCGCGTTCGAAACGTGGTGATGGCACCAAAACAACACAAGGCGAGGATTGTGGCAGTTGTAATCAGCATTGCTCTCTTTAGCTACAATCTTTTTTGATTGAAAAACATGCAGTATACATGGCACAGGTGAGCAAGATGCATGAAGGGCCTCAAATTGTGGAGCGTGGCCGGCTTGTTGAGTTGACCCGCCTAAGCACATCAGAGAAGTCAGGGCACCGACCTCCCAACCCCATGCGCATTGCTGAGCTCGTTGCAGAGTTCCGCAACGGAAACTGGGGTAAGACACTCTTGTGTGGTGTGTCTGTGATCTTGGATAGCCCAGATTTGCTTGAGGATTCTAACGGGCAATTCTTGCTTCAAGATGGGAAGCAGACAGTCTTAGCATTGCTTGAATGCAAAGATGCGTTTGATAAGAACTTAGACGAAGCAATGGAGTGGGATGAGGAGTTGGTAAATATATTCAAGTCGGGTCTGCCTGTGAATGTGGTGAAGTATGCTGCCGGATACGATAATTTGCTCCACTTGGCGCACGAAACGTGCCTTACCTTGCAAAAAAAATCAGTCTGGTGATTGCGCACGCTTGTCGCCCTACTTCTTGAGCTCCTTGCTTCTTGGAGCTCCTGAGCCAAGGCAGCGCCATGAAGTGGATCTCAATCGCTTTGAACCGCATAAGCCAGTCCTAAGCTCAGGTGCGATTAATTGCCTTCAGCTTGTTTTATCCCCAGTCGGCGCCGCCAAGATCCAAAAGATGGACTTGGTTGAATCCTTCCGGGCCCGCACAGTGGGCGGGGATTGGAGTGCCACACAGAAGAGAATGGAGGCCTGCTCCTGTGCGAAGCTGGTTGGCCGCCGTGATGTTTCTTTGTTTTTGCTTGCAGGAAGTGATGGGCACCTCAGCCCGCAGCCGCATAGCTCGCTGGGTGCGAGCCAGCAGGCACATGCTTGGGGAAATCAAAGAGGCCTTGAGACAGGATGAGAACTCCATGGCCACCGACAAATTCATTTTCGACAACGAATTCTTTGTCTCTCCCAACGATAAGAAGCTGAAACCTTCATTTGCCTTGAGGGCTTTGTCTTTGCTTCGCCGGGCAAAAGAAGATGGCTGCCCGTTCACCGCCGAGGCTTTCCAGTCTAACTGTTGCGCGCCTTTGAAGATGGTTGAGAATTGGCGCCGGCAACTGAACAAGGCCTTTGGCAGCAAGCCTGATTCCCTGCCTGCGACGGAGCGCGTCCTTGACTACCTGTGTTCGCTTCGCTTGCTGCCTCAAATCAAGAACCTTGCACGGGAGAACATTCCTTTGCATGGCACCAGCGCTCAGAATCCTGGAGTCCAGGTTGCCCGCGATCTATGGTTGGAGCTAGAGAAGATCAAATCCGGCAAAGACCAAGGTGCCACAACAGATGGAGGCGGAAAGGC